GAAAATGGGTAACGCTCAAAGTCAAGGGTTGGGGGACGCGACCCCGACTCGACACCGAGCAACAATGCGCCCGATAGAGAACCGACCGCGACTCGGTACTCGTGGTCCCGGGTTCGCAGATAACGCGCCCTCTCTTTCCACGACTCATCCCTTTGCGCTTCGATTCTCGTTTCCTCGTTTCGTTCTCTCCGTTCTTTCGCGCCCGCTATACCTACGGCGCGTTCGTTCGTGATTTTCTTCCGCTCTGGCAAATCCAGCAGCGTCTCTGTCCAAATTCCGATCGCCGAACCGGTTAAAATATATACGTCGGATCGAGAGGGTTGCGGCAGAGTTTTCTTAGGTTCGTCGTACGTTTGCAAATTGCCTCGGACCATGTCTGTTACCGACCGCGATTACGGCCCATCCTCGTCCAAATCTGCCGGATTTGTTATTCTTTTCAGATTCGCACGACCACTACTCCCCTATCCCGTTACTCATCCTCGCTGGTTAATTCGCAGTCTGCGAATCGGACACGTAATACCGCCAACTCGCGTCGTTTCAGAAATTCCGATCAAAAAATCTTGCAAAGCGTTTACGCTTATGTACGCTAACGGGGACATGGCCTCGACTATTACCATATCATCCGTCATAAATATATACATATACGATACATATATGTGTATATATATAGATTTTCGCAATCGCTAGAGTCGTTTCGCAATTTTCGATGAATTTATCACGCCTTCTCGATGGGGAATCGACCGGCTCCCAAGTTGAATCGAACGGTTCTCGCGAAGCCCGGTCGGCGCAGTGACAGAGGCTGATTAGACCGTGACGCGGAGAATGCGAAGAACGCGGAATCGCATCGAGTCGAGTCGCGTCCCTTCCATTTCCAGTCCTCTCTCTCTCTCTCTCTCTCTCTCTCCCTCTCTCTCTCTCTCTCTCTCTCTCTCTCTCTCTCTCTCTCGACGGATTCGCCGCGTCGATAAATTATCCGAGGTTAACAGGTGAGCGCGAACGACAGACGGCGATAATAACGACAACGATAAACGCGTCAATAATACGCCAGGAGGATCGGGGACGCGACTACAGTGACGGAAACGCGGCTAGGCGATCATCGGCGCTCTCGCGTTCCGACGACACGGGCGCTATTCCCGTCGCTGCTGGATTTCCCTTCGATTTGGGTTACCAGTCTCTCTCTCCTCGCTTCCACTTTGATCCGCCGCCGGCCGACATTCCGACCGGGTCCACCTCCGTTTCCTTTTCGTCCGAGCCTTTCGTTTCGGCGATCCGCTTCCGAGCGTTTTCGACGTTTCGCAGCCGCGCGGATCTATGTTCCAGCTTTCGGCGTGATTAACGCCGTCGTGCGTCTCTATCCCAGGTCGCTGGAACGGCTTCGACGAGAGAGACTAACCGCTCGAAATCCGGTTACCCCCCGCCGACCG